AATAATATCGAGACGAGAAAAAGAATGGAAATAAAACAAAAATTCAATTTTTGACGATTTTGAAATTTTTTAAAAATCTTGAGCGACCCCTACAAAATTTTTAATCGAGCTTATATTTTGACAGGGCTTAAAACATGACAAACCAACATATTTTCACAAGAGACGAGAAGAAAAAAAATATTCTTTTTTTTTGGGCCACCCTAATATACATATATACAGCTTGTTCATACTAAAACCGAATATATCTATATATATATGGGGCGTGGCCTCGCCTCCCTCCAAGGCGCGTCACAGTTGCTTGTGTGATAAACGACATGCGAAAGGTCGAGCAGGTAAGGACTTAAAAAATTAAATGATAATAATGCAAAAAATCTCATTAGCGATGCAGTCTATTTGCTTAGCTACTGTGTCGCGCGTTGGAGTTAGGCGAGGCCACGCCCCATATATATAGATATATTCGGTTTTAGTATGAACAAGCTGTATATATATAATATATATATATATATACAGGGTGATTCAAAACTCGAGGCGAAAAATTAAGAAATGTATACAGTTTTATATTCTCGATAAAAAATGTAAAATTAAATTTTTGAAGATATGGATCTGTTTCCGAAATATTAGACTTTAAAGTTTCTGTATGCGAACAATTTAATTTCATAAATTACAGTAAGCCTAGAAATAAGTGAGTTTACTGTCACCTGGTGACAGTCAACAAAAATTGTTTACAAATTTAAAAGTTGCTTTATTGGATTAGTTGTTTTGTTAATCCTGCAGTTTTCCAACGAAGAAAATGCAGATATTATTTTTGTGTACTGTTTTTGTGATGGCAACGCATTAAAAGCTTGTCGGGAGTATAACAAAAGATTCCCTAATAAAACATTAAAACAACTGGTTTACGCAGTGGAAATTAATAACCAAGAACAATTAATGAAACAAATTTTTAATAGGTCCTAATGATGTATTTTTGAACATTTGATTTAATTATTTTTTATATTTTTATGTAATAAAGTTAAAAATTGATCTCATGCAAATACATTGAAGTCTAATATCTCGGAAAGCCATATCTCTAAAAATTTTATTTTACATTTTTTATCAAGAATATAAAACTGTATACATTTCTTAATTTTTCGCCTCGAGTTTTGAATCACCCTGTATATATATATATGTATATATATATATATATATGTATATATTTATATATATATATATATATATTATAAAAATTGGTAAATGCAAAAAAATTGTTTGTTTGGCCAAAATAGACTTTGGGCTTGACACCCAGAAATTTTTTTGCCAGCAGCTTTTCCCGTATAAGGGCCTCTACCAGATTTTTGTTCCGGGCCCCCTCGAGGCTAGCTACGCCACTGCCCAAAGGACATGCGATATCAACAGTACATTGCACGGGAGGTTTAATGTACCCAATTTTACATCGCTGTACATTGCTGGGATGTGTCTGTGCTAGCTGGGATGTAAATTAATTAATTGTAATCTACTTTTTTTAAATTTGAATTTTTTGAATTTGAAACAGGTGCGGGTAACGCGAATGTAATAATTGTTTGTCCGCTAAGTTAGTCAAAAAAATAATAAAAATAAGGTAAGAAAAATATTATTTTTCATGTTTATGTTTATTTTAGGGCACTAAAGCTCATTAAGAGTAATTAATGACTGTAATGTTTTATTTTTATTTTTTAAATATGGTTTCACAAAACTTTGTCCACTGCGTTACCGAGTCCATTACGTTACCTTATGGTAACGCAATGGAATTTAGGGTAACGCAATAGAAGTTTTCGACAACAAAGGGGATATTTACCGTCGCTTTTATTAAAAGTAGTTTATGATAAATCAATTTAAAATTATTTGTAATTACAACTCATGATATAGATTACATCCAAGGGAAAATTCCACGCAATATACAAGTACTAAAAGACACCAGCTTATAGTCAAAGAAAAAGGGTGTCTATAATTTAGAAATCTAAGTTGTTATTCTGCAAGTGAGCACCACTACAAGGGATTTTGTTTATGCATTACTCTAAAATCGTACCACCCTATATAGTTTATTTTTTACGTTATCTGATTAAGTCCTTTGTGTACCCCAGTCCGTTGTGATACCAATGTCTATTTCGTTACTTTTTTTTTAGTTTTTGTTAAAAAAATCCTTAAAATGATTTTACTATCACTTGTTTATAAATTAGAGTTTAACTCACTAATACAGTGACTAAAAGAAAATATTAATGGTATTGTTTTTTTAACAAAGAATCGGAATGGTGTCTTTTAAAAAGTAACTTAACTAACATAAATATTTAAAAAGGCATACAATTTTTAATAAAAAATAAAATTGGAGTCAAAAGTTTGTGAACTAAGTACATTTTATTTCAAATTATTTTTATAACAACTTTTTTATTGAATTAAATTTTGGATTTCAAATTGGTAACACAGTGGAGACGTATAAAGCTAGCTAAACACATTTTTTTGAAAAAAACGTAAATGTAAGTAAACAAAACTCTAAACATTTATAAAAATCCAATCAAATTTAAGCAAAAAAAAATTTTGATCTTCATTTTCCTGAAAGCGGGTGTTTCTTGAAAATGACCCAAATATTTAATAAATCTAATTAAAAATTTTTGTAAGGTACTAAACATTTACTTTAATTACAATTTATTCCAAGCTTATTTAAATAAAATAATTTACTTTATTAAACAATTTAACAAATTTGTTTATTTAACAAATAAATACATATAATGCCTATTTGGTTTAAATATATATGTTTAATTTAAACATAATTAATATATGGCCAAATATTTTGTTGAATAAAAGTAATGGATATAAGAGTTGTGCTAATAGAAATCTCGGTTTGTTTCGAATAATAATATCCTTCATTTAAATTGCAGTTTTACATAACAAAATATTTAATAACAAAAATTATTGTTTTAAAAAATATAATAATAAAAATTATAATACTAAAAGAATATATTCGTTAAATTTCTTTTTTCCGACCAAATTTTACTTGATGGTTATTTGGATATGTACAAATAAATATAATTATTTTATAAAAAATCGAAATAATTTTAATAAATTAAATACAATATAAATTTTAATAGTAATAAGAATGGGTATTATATTAAATAAAATCCCGGAATAAAATGGGTAGGTATTATTCTCTACTCTCGTACTAAGCCAGCCGTGTTCGGCAGGTATATTTACTCGAAATTTAGAGGTCCAAGCGTATAATTTTGCGTACAAAATCGCCAATATCAATTAAACAAGGAAAAAAATTGTGTTACCTATGTGCTTTATTATTTTGTCTACTAGAGGATGATATATAATTCAACATAATATCGCCCGGGCTAATCTGGGCAAATGGGCTTTTGTGTCGTTTTTTTAACACTATTTAAAATCGTAAATGTCTAGGTTTGTTTGATAATATTTGTTTACTTCTTTATGTTTAATTTGGTAGTAATTTTGATATTATTCGTCGACTGGTTTTTATTATATAGATGATCAAAAATTAAATTTTTCAATAAACTTAAATCCTAAAAATTCATCAACTTTGACGGGATATAACTTTATAATTAAAAAAGATATAACAAAAATGAAAACATATTTAAATTTCTTGAAGTTTTTTCTATATGACTGCATGTTTTAACATTTTTTAGTAAATGTGACCCCTGAAGTACTTTTGTCCAAGGTCGGCCCACCGTGGACGGCCCAGTTTAGCACGTGTGGTAGTCCAGGAAATTATTCGTTGAAACTGATCGTCTTACTCACACCTTTATCCACATGTAAAACACTTGGGGACTTAAACCAGGGGGAGGTAACACCCGCAATTTGCACTCTTTTTGCCCTTGGATCTGGTATATCACGTGTAGAATCGTTATTAATTTTTTGATTTGATTAACTTTAGAGGTGATGGCACTATGGAAGTACGAGCGCGTTAAGGGAGATCTTACCCAAGCGACCGTTCGCCTCAAGGTGCGGAGCGACAATGGTTAATAAAATAACGATTGAGTATAAAACAAAAGATTTTTTAGTATTTTAAAAATATTCAGTAGACATAATCTAGTTAAAAAAACACGAGCAAAAAAGTGGGAATAGTAGGTTGAAAGTAAATAAATAAGTAATCCTTCTGTAGCTTTCGTATTTTGTGACTTTTTGATGTAATTCATTGTCCTTACCTATAATTAAAATATAATTGTATTAAATATTAACGTATAATTTCATATTGTAAACGTTACTTGGTAAATGTAAATAAAAGTATAAAATGTCTAATTTGTCACTACATTAAATTAAAAATACCAAAGATTGGTTTATTCAAATTTTCCATAAAATTATAAGACCATCTTTGAAGAGTCTATAAATAACCAGAACATATCGGTTATGATCATTTTAGTCCATTGATTCGTTATCGAGATAACGGATTAAAATGATCATAACCGATATGTTCTGATCATTTATAGATTCTCACCAGAAGGCGCGAAAGTAACAACTGTTGTGTTCGTTTTTTTAAATTAATAATACGAAAATTATTTATTTAACCATTTTTTTCAATAAAGGAGCTTTTTAATAGATTATTGTTGATAATGGTTAAACACTTTACCTTTTAATTCCTTTAAAAACATTTTTTTTTAATTCTATTTTTCACAAAAATGAGACCAGCGTCAGAGAGGTGATATTTCCTAGAAACTTAAACTATAATTAAAATATATGAAAAAATATATTTGTGCCTCCTATAAAACATTCAAAACTTGAAATACAACAACAAAAACAAAAAAAAAAAAGATTACAAAAGCAACAAAACTCGAAAAAACCAGGCTAAACTTAAAATAGCAATTTGAAAAAAATATATAAATAATATTTGAAAATAATGATAGATTTGTTGAAAATGAATATTGCTTTCTATTATTTATTAATGGTTGTGGCAAAACACAAACCATATCGTCTTTTTTAATAAGAGAAATATCTTCCTTCCTAGGAAGCACAATTTTTTTGGAGCCTGACATTTTTCAGAAAAATTTAACAAGGTTGGACCACTCCAACAAAATGTTGAGTTGTTTTTTACCAGGAAATTTTACATCATTTTCTTTCACATTCTGTACAGACAGAATCTGAGAATCGTTTTCAAGTTCTTCACCTTGATCTTGTTTTTCGGAATCTTCATCGCTGTACACATCAGCATACCTAATTTTCCTTTTAGCGGAAGAATGAGCTAAAATAGTAGAGTTAAGAAAAAAATAATGTTGCTATTTCAAGAATAATGAAATGAATTTAAGGTTTAAGTAAAAAAAAAAAGAAAACATTGTAAATGATAACTTCCCATTGGATAGTATTCACATAAATCGGATTTAAACATGTTAGTTTTCGAAGATTTAAAAGTAAATTTTTGAACATAGAAAATCTTTTATTAATCAAAGTAACAGATTCAACTTATGCCCACCATTTAATTAAAGAAAACCACTCATTTAACAATAATTTTAAAATTTTACATATTGCAAATAAAGCTACGAAGTTAAATTTACTAGAATCAATAGAAATTAATAAAATAAAAAATCTGATATTATCCTTAAAGATCGATTAGAAACAAATAATTCCTCTTTGTTAAATTTATTCTAATATTATATAAGATAGAAAATCCCCCAAATATTATTTTATTACAACTTTTTTTACATTATACTTCGACAGGTAAAATTGTCGTACTGCACTAAATTTTTTATAACAAAAAAACCATTACCTGCAATATATGTGTTACATAAGTTTGTTATTGGATTAAGTTTGAAATCATTTCTGACGAAGCTACTGTGTTAGCGAAAATTGAAGCATGGTATTCCCAAAGAGTCCAAGTGCCAAAAATAAAATTATGAGTAATTAATGAAAAACAAATATTGTGCACATATAAATGTACAGGCAGAGCCATCTTTAAAAAAGTAAAAAAAATACTTACAAAAATAATATGGAGTTGAAATATTTTTTAAGTCATTCTGTATGGCATATTGACTATTTTTAAATGATAATATAATATTTGACCAACATGGCAGTTAAACCCTTTGGGTATACCATGCTTCAATTGTCAAAATTAAATTAAAATAATTTGAAACTCAAAAACAGTGTTTATTTTTTATCTAGTAATACATTAGTGACATGGAGTTTCATCAAGTAAAGGTCGAAACAATAAAATACTTGTATTATAATATTTTTGTGTTTTGTTGAAAATTGATAAATTTAGGATCTTGTTCATGATTCATGATCAATTAGAATCAAATAATTCCCCTCTGTTAAATTTATTCTAATATTATATAAGATAGAAAATCCCCCAAATATTATTTTATTACAACTTTTTTTTTACATTATACTTCGACAGGTAAAACTGTCGTACTGCACTAGGGTTCGCAATCTCGAAGAGGAAATATAATCCCGGGATTATGATATCGATATTTAACAATCCCGGGAATACCGGGATTTCGAGATTGATGTTAAAAACTAAAAGAAAACATAGAAAGCATAATTATTTATTTTATTAATAAAAGACAATTTAAACCAAAAAAATATTCCTGTGTTCAGCGGCTAAACCAATACCGCAGAAAAATTAGTTCATTAAGGGTACATCCCCAAGTCGGAATATAATTTTTGTAGATAGGATTTCTTCTGCCGAAAACGCCCTTTTCGAAACCACACTAGTGGGGACATTAAGAAATCATATTTCAGCTTGAGGCATGCAACCCTGCTTCCCCCATTTTCAAAAAGCGACATTTCTTTTTTTAGAGTTGATGTTACCAAATCGGTTTGAGGGTGCATTTTTATTGGGTCCATTGCCTTATTTGTCAATGATTTCTTAGTTTTAATTTGAGGCTGGAACAGTAGCATGACTGAAATAGTAATTTCATCCTCGTCATCGTCTTCTTGAAAAGAAACATTTAGTTTTTTTGGAAACGTTTTCAAGCATTTCCCTAATAATTTTTTTGTTTAGAATATTGAACAGAGCATCTGATTCTTTATCATTGGGATTGTGCAAATAGCGGATAATACCTGAGCAATAAGTTCTGCGCTGAGCAATCCTGCCCCTTAGGGCTTCATATAAGTTGGCACTTAGGGAAGTGTTAACTTCTTAAACTTGTGTCAACATAAATTTAAATAATGATAATATAATATTTGACCAACATGGCACTTAAACCCTTTGCGAATACCATGCTTCAATTGTCATAATTAAATTAAAATAAATTGAAACTCAAAAAACAGTGTTTGTTTTTTATCTAGTAATACATTAGTGACATGGAGTTTCATCAAGTAAAGGTCGAAACAATAAAATACTTGTATTATAATATTTTTGGGTTTTGTTGAAAATTGATAAATTTAGGATCTTGTTCATGATTCACAGTTTTACATGTAACAAAACATGGACTTTTTTGATTTTTTAGAATTTCTAAATTTCAAAGATGTGTAAATTTGGTTATAAATAGCATAATGACACTTATTCCAGTATAACTTGGCGTTTTTGTTGCTATAATATAATGTTAATACTCTATAAGCTTATTTTTTACATTAATAAATAAATGTGGGTCGTATGCTTTTTATTAAATAATAAATTTACTAAAATGTGTACACTGTTCAAAATTTCATGACCATTTTAACTAAATTAACACCATATATCTGTGGGTAAAAGGCATAAGGGGATAAGTCAAAAAAAGCAATTTTTTAGCAGAGCCTTAAACGTGTTCCCATTAATTCAGGAAATATATTTATGGTTAGCGGGTATACCCTTTTGGTAGCATATGACATGTGCTACCAAAAGGGTATACCCACTAACCATAAATATATTTCCTAAATTAATGCGAACACGTTTAAGGCTCCACTGAAAAATTGCTTGTTTTGACTTAACCCCTTATGCCTTTTACCCACAGATATGGTCTATATCGATACAAACCAAAATGGTGTAAAATAGGGTTCGTTGGTCCGGTGTAAATTCAAATACAAAAATAGTGTTAATTTAACTTTCACACAGTATTAAAATAAATTTTACCTGGTGTAAATTGAACTCCTTTTCAGTGTTAAATATTATGTGTTTGTGGTCAAATTAAATCATACTACACAGAAAAAAGGAAAAAAAAAGGAAACAGGAAGTTCCTTGACGCATTACTAGTATATTACCAGTGGTATTATTCCAGAAAATGGAACCTTCAACTCGGTAGAGATAATTTTTTTAGTTCGTTCCACTAACTTAAAATACTTCAAGTATTGACAGCTGTTTCCACCTATTTAATGTCTAGTATCGAACAACTTGTAGTGTCACACCAAAGCAAAGGACTACCTGAGCTTATATATTCTTCATGTAAGTTAACAGAGGCAAGATTTAAGAACATCACGTGATCCACAAAAAAAAATACTTATGGGTCAACTAAATTAATATAGTTAAATGAACTATTCCTTTTTTTCTGTGTAGGTGCACTTCTCAAAAATTTTTTAGCCAAACACCGTTTTGGTGTTAATTTTTAACCATAATTCATGGTGTTATATTAACACCACTTGGTGTTGGATTTTGACACCATTTTAGGATTACTCTTTACACCACAGATATTTTAAACAGTGTAACGAGCGTTACGCTAAATTCATGTAAGCATAAATTATATTATATTAAAAGTAACTATGCAGAAATTAAAAATTATTGTATTAAATGAATTAACTAAAATACTTTATCGAATGACTGTGATATTGAATCAAGCTGTAAGTATTGTTACAAGATAGGTTCCAATAAAGTTATTATAGCACGGATTCAGGGAAACAATATTATATAATTTCTCAAGCGAAGTCGAAATTTATTGTCGCAAATTTGATGCAGTATTTGTCGTCGACAATGGACTAGACTATGTTGTGGCATCGGTTAAGCGAAGTACAAGGCTATGTAAACGGAGTGTGTCAACAACTGCACCCGTTAATTCGTATAAACGGTAATAATTATACACACTTATTATGCCTTTGTAAGTGGTAAAATTTATGCATGCCACAGATGTGTTTGATTTTACCTCATACACTAGATATTCTAGCTTATTATAATATGCTTTTTCTACTCCCATCTTTAAAACGCTTATTATCGTACATGTTTCCATGACCTTTTAAATACACATTGACAAGTTGTGGCTTTATGGGGTTTTAGTAACGGGCTGAAGTTAGTTTTAAGTTAGTTGACAGTTGTCATACAATCGTTAAAATAAAGTGCCTTTCATGAAAAATAATATATTATAATATAATAATATATAGTATACAAAATGTGGAAATTATTTTATTATCTTAATACAAAAAGTATTAAATAGTTTCTCAACGCCAATATTTAAAAAGTTTATATGAACATTGTACTGACCTTTTAATTTCGCCGGCAGTAAACTAGATTTTACTTAAATTCGGGCTCGGACTCCACTTTGAAGTGCTCATTTTCTTCACTTTCACTGCGATAAACTGTTGATAATCCATTTTCATGGGATACATTTCAATTTATAACACATAAAAATTTGACATTTGACGGTAACACAGATTCCCCTATTGTTGCTCTGAACAAATATTTAATTTAAATAATTTTAAGATAATAAGTATTTGTCGTAGAAAAAGTATAATTTGAAACTCGTTTATAAACTTTTCCAGCACTTGCTCGCAAGCTCGCTCATGCCTAAATTAAATTCGTGTCTAAAATAGCCTTTATCTAACTTGATACATAATATGTTATTTTCTACTACCACTTTTAAAACGCCAATTAGTACATGTTTCCATGACACTATAGTGTTATAAGTGATATTTTAAATACACATTGACAAGCTATGGCTTTATGGCGCTTTAGTTACGGGCTGACCTTAGCAACAGATTTTTAGTCACGGGCTGAAATTGGCTTTATGTTAGTTGACAGTTGTCAAATGTCATACAATAGTTAAAAAAAGTGCCCTTCTTGTAAAATAATACTAAATGTAAAAATTATTGTATTATCTTAATACACAAATACAAAAGTATTAAATAGTTTCCGAACACCAATATTTAAGTTTAAGTTTATTTGAACATTGTACTGGCCTTTTAATTTCGCCGGCAGTAAACTAGATTTAACTTAATTTTTGGTGGACTACACCATGGAGTGCCGATAAAACATTTTTTTTACTTTCACTGTAAAAAACTGATTCTATATCAGATTGGAACGGTCCATTATCAAGGGATCAAGGGACATTTAGATTTACACCAAAAAATTTGACATTTGACACAGATTCCCAAGCTCCCAACTGTATTGTTTTATAGATATCGCTTTATACAAACATTTATTAATATAATTTATTTTTAGATAATAATAAGTAGGTATTTGTCTTAATAAAAATATAGTATGCAACTTTCTATAAACTTATCTAGATACTCATTTAGTTAAGCACTGGCTTGCAAGCTCGCTCGTGTCTAAATTAAATTCGTGCCTAAAATGGCGTTTATCAAACTTAATAAAGTCACATTCGATATATTTTCACAATTGCTTGTCAAATATCACACAATTGCCAAAATACACCCTTGTGAAATAAATCCAAAATATGAAAATAATTTTTATTCACAATTACTGATTATAAAAATACAAAATTATTAAACATCGTATTTAGTAAAATTTATATTAATGGTTATATTGGCTTTATTTTCGTTATTGGTAAAAGAAGAAACCATTGATTCTTTTAATTTTGTGGTATTGTATTTACGTTAAAATTACTGGTTTCAGTTTCATTTACATAATAATTGCTGGTTTCAATTTCATTTACATCATAATTTGAACTTCCAACAACTTTAATATCAATATTCTCAGTATTCTCTTGCACATCACAATTTTTAACGTTATTGAAGATTTTACTAGCTGTCTTAATTTTATTGTTGAAAATGTACCCTTCTGCAACAGTTGTTGAACGCAATCCTCCATGGCGCTTTAAAGCTGTAATGTTTGCACCCGAATCTACCAAAATTGTCGCTGATGAGAATGGCCAGTGTATCAATTAGGATCAGGCAAATTTAGAAAATTTGCTAATATGCTGGCGATGTTGCTAAATTTATTTATTTCAATGGGCTTTTTTGTACATTTTCCTCACTGGTATTTTAAGAAAACTCGCGTAGGTACTTGTCAGGTATGGAGGCCAAAGTTCCATGTATATCTTATAGATTCATAGGAATATGAACTAAAATTGCAGTGTTAAGATCTTCAATGACTTGTTTCAATTTTTATCAATAATTATTATTCCCTCCGACAAGCCTCTATTATGCCAAAAATTAACCCAACCTAAAATATTTAAAACTTTAATACTTTTATTTAATTTGGGTTTATACTTTACCTTGGTAAATACGAATCCTTATCTGAAGCAGAATTATTTAATTTGCTGCACTCAATTTACCTACTTGCTTATAAACTAGTTGTTGATGATGCGGCTGCTTGTATAATTTCGGATGAAGTGCCCATAAAAATATCTTTTTCACTTTCCTTTTCATTTTTAAGAACAAACATTTGACACACTGACACTGACAAAATAATTAACAGCTGTTTTGAAATCAAAAAACAGATCCCTTGTTTTGGTTACTTTATTTTTGTGGATGTCTCTCCATACAAATAATTTCATTGAATATTAAATTTATTTTTCATAATTAGGATGTTTGTCGTATACACTCATTTTATTTAAACACTCGCTCGCAAGCTCGCTCGTGCCTTATTAAAATTTGTGAATAAAATGGCGTTTGTCACACTTGATACATAATATACTATTATGGTTGCTAAATACGCAATAGTGGGTAAAAGTGACTAATAAGCCATAGTGTTTAAAAACAAAATAGGTATTAATTTTTTTTATTTATAGGTATATGGTAAATTGAAAATAAAATCAGTTAAAAAACACTTACGTAATCTAATTTTCACGTCAAGTGCTTAAAAGACTCTCTTATTGCATTAATGGCTATTACAATATGCAAAAATCATCAATTCATTTATAAAGTTAATTAAGATAAAAAAAGTTGGTAACATTTTAATTGTCCATTTTTTTGTTTAAGAGAGTACCTACCTATAATACAAAAAAGTATACAATGGCATATTTTAGATAGTTTTGGATTTCATTTTTAATTCTTTTTAAAAAATTTACTTTAAAATGTAATATTGTTATATTAGTTTGTAAATATATTCTTTAATCAAATTTTAAACTCTTGATTTTTATTGGAGTTTAAGTGTAAATATATTCTTTAATTAAGTTTAGAGCTCTTAATTTTAATTGGAAGAAAATTAATAACATTTAAAGTAAAACATCTTAGTTTGACATCAAAGTAAAATCAGTATAAAGCGTCATATACGAATGGGTACGTATTTACATTTAAAATAGACAACTAATTATACCTACCATGCCACAGTAACAGCTGATGTGTGTTCAATAGTGGTAGTTCGAATTGGTGTAATTATGATTATAATAGGTAGTTTTCGTTGACAGAACCCCTAGGTATATTGTAACTTGTTTTCAATGAAAATGTTAATAAATAATTCATAGCCAGTTGTGCTCGGCACTGTTTTCATTAATGACTTCTGAAATTGTCAGCGCGAACATGCACCCAGTTAATGTCGAACATAACCAGCCAAATACAATTTGCAAAACTACTAATACCTAATACTTGATTTTTATGACCTTTTTTATAGATTAAGAAGGTGAGCAGAATTGCACTGTTTTCTTTTTGGTCCAGAAAAAATATTCAAAATTTTATTTATCTGTACAATTTAAATTAAATATTTAATTATAATTGATAAATTAATAATTATTAATAACTTTAACTTTGACTTTTGACGATACAAGTTTGTTTGATTTTAATGTTAATATTAAATCAAGAATGTTTATATTGCATGTCTATTATAACTTATTATAACTTATTATTACTTAGGGTGACCATATGTACTTTTTTAGTAGGCACTAATTTATTTTCTAACACTGTCCTTCAAAGGATTATGCAGTACACCTAAATGTACTTTTCTTTTAAGATACACACAAGTTGTGTGACACAACTATGTCCTAAGTTTTGTTTAAATAAATACTTTTAACTCTAAGCCAGTGATCGTCTTGCTGTAAGACGGGTGTTCCCTCATTCTACAGCGCCGGGTGACACCACATAACGTAATAAATAAATTCTTTATAAATAAATTTTTTATTTGCCCAACAGAAAAACCATTTACAGGACAATAATAATACGTATATAATAGTATAGACAAAAATAACTAAAATTGGCATAAATATTTATATCAATAATTAACCAACTCCTTAATACCTAAAAGTCCCGGGACGGAGTTATAACTTTTGAAGGAGTGAAAAAAAAATAAAAAATTAGGGGATCACTATAGGATTATAAAAACTTTATTCTTAGATAGTTTAAAACTTCCATGCAACTACAAGTTTTTTTAGGGGATGCACCCAACATTTTAAATAGCAACTCCTGTCGAGTTTCACCTTGATTTAAAGGTAATAAAAAAACACATCCTCATAAACGAAAACCCGATATCTTATTCTTTCAAGAGTTATGAGGGGTTGACTACCAAGTGGGAAAATAAAATGTTTTAATGTTTTCTGAACATTTATTACGATTTTTATAACAAATGTTCAAATTGTCGACCATTTTCGATCACGAAATGACCCAAACGCTCGTAGATGCAATTTTGTTGCATATGGTGGTTTCTTCAAGTATGATTCTGGTTTTGTTGCATACACTTTACTTTTTAGAAACCCCTAAAAAGAAAAAATCGAGTTGGGTTAGATCAGGAGATCGAGGTGCACTCCATTTCACCTCTTCTACCAATCCAACGGTTTGGAAACGTTCGGCTTAAAAAGTCTTGGACTGTGCGACTAAAAAGGACATAAGGCACGTACACTTGGAACCACTTGAGTTACTAATAGTTGGAGATATCCGTCTCCGTCCAAATTTCCATTAATAAAAAATGAACCAATTACATTTAATTCCATAATACCAGCCCATACAATAATTTTCTGCGGTCTCTGAGTAATAATAATAATAATAATAATAATAATAATAATAATAATAATAATAATAATAATAATAATAATAATAATAATAATAATAATAATAATAATAATAATAATAATAATAATAATAATAATAATAATAATAATAATAATAATAATAATAATAATATTCATTTAATCCAAGAGATCTCTTACAGATATAGGATAGGTCAAAAATCATTTAACACAATGAAACAATGAAACAACATGCAACAAACGACATAATCCAAAAAATTACTTACTCAAAAGTAAAGTTTTTAATTTGCAGAAAAACTTGTTGTTTTGAAAGTTTTTAAATTGTGCAGGTAATTTATTGTATAAAATTGCTCCAATATAATATGGGTTAGATTCATACAATGTCATAGAATGATTGCAATATTGTAAATTGTTGCCATGGCTGGTTGGATAATTATGATAACAATTTTGTAAATTAAATTTGTTTAAGTTTGTTTTAACAAATTTCAAGATTTCAAAAATAAATATGGAAGAGAGTGTCATAATTTTTTCTGGGATAAAAGTGTTTTTACAGGAGTCTCTGAGGTTTATTCCAAACATGCTTTTAATTGCTCTTTTTTGTAGAATGAATTTCCCCAGAAAATAATAATAATAATAATAAAATATTTCTACAACTTGCCTACTACTAATATTGCGCAGTCTAAATAAAGCATAACAATTGCTGCAACATTTGCTGCACACTGCATTAATATGTGATTTCCAATTTAAGGACATATCCAAGTGCACACCGAGTAATTTAAAACTGGCGACCTGCTCAACTGATTTGCAATTTAGTTTTATTAATTTACTCTTTGTGTAATGTGCGCTGTATGGATGAAATTCCATTGTTACAGTTTTTGTTTGATTCATTGCTAAGTTAAATGATTTACAATATTTGGCGACTGAATTTAGATTATTATTTAAGTCTTCTATCATTTTTTCGGCATTTTTATTTGATGCAATCATGGTTAAATCATCAGCATATTCTATATGAAATAAATTTACATAATTATATAAATCATTAAAGTATAATATAAACAAGAGTGGCCCTAGTACACAACCTTGGGGAACACCCACATCAACCTCTTTTTCTGATGATTTCGAACCATGATACAATACAAATTGCCTGCGGTGCATTAGATACGATTTTAACAAAGTTTTGCAGTGACCACGCAAACCAAAATATTCAATTTTTTTCAAAAGAAGGTATGATATTTTCTTATTAGACGTGAATTTTCGTCAGCCCATTAACGACAATTGTGCTTAATAACCTAACCATTTAAGTAAAAAGAGAAAACAACATTCAAAAGAAAATTTCTGTGAACATCTCATTTTTCAGGTACTATTTTACAAAATTCCAACCTTCTATCAATTCCTGAACTAGGTGAAACTTATAGGGAAAATAGTTATTTTTTTTCAAAATTCTGTGGACAGAACTTTCACTAATTTCATGTACCTGACTCGCTTTTAATAGGGAACTTGAAGGTTCTTCAATAAAAGACAGTAACACTTCTTTGTTTTTTTTCTGGAGTTGCTGCAGATTTAGGTCTGCCAGTTCTCGGAAAATCTTTCAGAGTTCCCTCTTCTTGAAATTTTCGAACAGTTATTTCTACTTTTGATTTAGAAATCGGAGGTCGTTGATGACAATAATCATTGAAGAGATGCCGTACTTTATCATAAGACCAAAGCCACGAATCATTAAAAGAGTGATTCTTTCGTTTTCGGTAAGTTTTTGCGCCATTTTTAGAGTAAAAGCAAATTTTATAAAACAAGTTCGGTTTAAATAAATAATAAAATTAAAAACGTAGGCGCAAATTAAACACAGCTATTAACAAAAAATACATCCATGTTTTGTATTATTACTTTTTATTTTAAATTCCTTAGTGATAAAAACATTAAATACATTAAAATATTTTATTTTCCCATTTGATAGCCAACCCCTCATAATTCTTGAAACAAAAAAATTATTGGGTTTTGGTTTATGGGGATGTGTTTTTTTTTCATTACCTTTAAAATAAGGTTAAACTATACAGGGGTTGCTATTTAAAATGTTAAGGTGGTCATCCCCTCAAAAACTCCACGTTGAATGAAAGTTCTAAACTATCTAAGAATGTAGTTTTTATGATCCTATAGTGATCCCCAAATTTTCAATTTTTTTTCTTCACTCCTTCAAAAGTTATAGCTCCGTCCCGGGACTTTTGGGAAGCCCTGTATATAAATGCACATTAGTCCTGGAGCTAGAATATCTAAATAAAAGTGTACTACAGGAACTTATTTTAAGAACAAAAAAATTAAGCATTCAAAGTAACTCCGCTGGATCAAATATATTATTTAACAATTTATATAGTAGAATTTGACTAGAGACAAATCTTCTGTTTGCTAAAGATTGCATATGAAATTTATTTAAAACAGCAAACGTTTATCTATAGATATATATATATACTCCGTTTTGGATAATTATTCTTTAATTTAAAATAATCGTATTTTAAGAATCTTCTTTGCACAGATTCTACTTTATTCACATATATTTTGTAACAAGGATACCAAACTACACAACAATATTCTAATTTCGATTTAACCAGAGAGTAAAATAAACATGGAATTAAAGGAATACTTAAGAATTATTTACATTTTCTTATAATAAAACTAAGTATGCGATTAGCTGAGGTGCTATATGTTCATTAAATGATAATTTTCAGTCAAATATACCCAGATCCTTAATAGAGTCAATTAGTAATAAAAGAGCATCGTCTAATTTATTATAAATTACTATAATAGTCCTAAACTATTTTTTCCAAATTTAGTGTATAGGAACATATTTTTCACTTTTTTACATTTAAATATAATTTATTTTTTGCACACCACTCATTTTGAGAAATAAGTTCACTTTGTAGATTTTCACACTCCTGTACATTTCGTATTTGTGCATAAATTTTAAGATTGTCCTCAAAAATTAGATTCTTACAATTAAGATTTGATGACAGATCATTTATAAATATATTAAATAGTAGTGGACCCAAATTGGATTCCTGGGGTACACCTGAGGATTCAACAAATGAAGATGACATAAATCCGTTATAACATACAATTGGTTTACTATATTGTTAAAATTTGATTTAAAAAGTTTTAATAGAGGTTTGCTAAAACAATGGATATTTAGCTTACTTTAGAGTATTTCATGGTCTACCCTATCAAAGGCCTTTGCAAAATCTGTATATATCACATCAACCTGAACTTTACTATCAAAACTATTAGATATAAACTGATTCATAATAGTTAAGTTTGTTAGTAATTACTGTGGACCTACCAGACATAAAACAATGTTGTTTATGTGAAATATAAGATCTGATTTGCGAATAAATCATGGAAATCTCAAAGGCCTTTGCAAAATTGTTTAAAATAAATATTTAATTACTTACATTACTAGGATCACCAGACTTAAGTATTGGACATATTTTAGACTACCCAAACCTGTAAATTTTACCAAAAATGGGTCTTAATGGGTTGGTAAAAGATTAAAGCACAGTCTTTAATTTAAAAGCTGGAAATAAGATCTAGTCCTGATTTATTATTAGGTAGTCCTTTCAAAATTTTTATATATATCTGATTTATGGATAGGTGGAATATTCCTTTATTTCTGAAGGGGAGTATACACTACTATCTCCTCGGGCGTATTATGAGTTTTTTTATTATTAACAAATGACCAAAATTGTTTAGGATTAATATATAAATTGTTTTCTGTTTCTGTTTTGTAGTCAGTATTAGTTTGTTGTTTAATAAGTTTTCGTATCCGAAATAATTCACTACCTATACATTTTTGCAATGCCGGTTTTTTTAAACGTTTATAATAATAAAATTTAAAGTTTTTTTTTAATATCAGGATCACTATAACACTTCATAAAATCCCATTTAACTTCCAGTAAGGCTTGGAAAAATAAGCTTTTTTAAAGTTGAGATTTATTGATAGAAAGTACTGACAATCTTTCTAATGTTAACTAGCAGCGCAGTATGATGCACATCTAAATTTACATCAATATTCTGCTTCTTAAAATTACCCAAAATAATAATTATTTTTTGCAAACAAACATATTGCTAAAAAAAAATAACTAAAATTCTGCAACTGATAAATAAGGAGGAATATATAAAACATAAACAAAAACTCTGCAATTTTTAACAACACATTTACAAGATAGCATATCAATACTAGGAAAGTATTTTGCTAAGTTCTCTAGATTCACATTTTCGACGATAAATTCAGTATTGTAAGCAAACAAGACGGCTCCACCGCGGCTCGTGTTTGTTTCTGGAAATGCGCGGTCCTTGCGAATAACTTCGTAGTTGTCAAAAAGTTCGTAGCTGTTAACATCTTTGGTAAGCCATGGTTCCACTTGTACTATGAAATCGTAGTTGCATGATAGTACTGACGTATATAAGTCCCCTTACATTTTGAAAATAAAATTAAAAATGACTCAAGCATCTGTTGGGCTTATTTAGTTTAGGTACTCCACGAATGTACTTTATAAATATATTGGTTTCGCCAGCTAATTTTCTTTATTTTGATTAAGATTTCAGGTTCTTTTAATTTTGAATTTCTTCGGTGTCCTATCCGAGAAGATGCTTAAAGATTTAAAATTATTGCTTTAAGTTTCTTAGATTTTCTTAGGATGTTTAAAAGTTTTAAGCATTAAGTTAAAACCCGATTTTCTTTTTCTAGTGTTATTTTAATTGATCTATAGGAGAGTTTCTGGAAGGGTCAAATTTACCGAGTCGTATATTATAGATTGTATTATGAGAAATTAACAATATTTTTACGGCCGATTCATCTTCTGTCTGCCTTTCAGTGCTAGTGTCGGCAGTTTGTTCTCGAATACCATAAATTATAATGTCATATTTTCTGGCATTTCTCTCTGATATTTCTTGAATAATATCTTCAAAATCTATTTTTGGCTGATATTAGATTTTCCATCTTTAATCGACTATTTTACTCCTTCTACATCTTTGTTAAGAATTTAAGCTTTTTGAGTCCATTAACACGACCTGATATTCTTAAAGGACACACACATACATATTAAATAATAATAAATAGTAAAATAAAATCATGTTACATCCGTTATAATATAAAAATCCATGTTGTTCAATTTTATATAATTTCACTTAATAAGCAACTTGTGCTTTTCCTGTTTTAATAGAATCCATTTTTGTAAGCAGTGTTAATTAGATCGACAAACTTATAAGTCTAAATCTTTCTTCAATAAATATTTGATATTCATAAAAACTTGTGTTTTTATCCAAAATCATTAACTGGCTCTGTGAACAGGATTGCCAAAACGGAATCTAGGAAATAATACCCCTGAAAAAAAAACCACGGAAAAAAAACCCCCGAAAAAAAAACCCCCGGAAAAAAAACCCCTAGGAAAAAAAACCCCTAGGAAAAAAAACCCAAGGAAAAAAAAGCCATAAAATAAATCCCGGTTTGACGAGTGTCACATAAAAAATGCAAAAATTGTAAAAATACCGCAAAAATGAGCGAAACCAACCCAAATCAACCCAAACTCAACAACACAACCCTACCGACCCCGCCCCATTGGCCCCCCCCCGCCCCATTGAGTAAAAATCCCCGAAATTGGCAAAAATAAAAAAAAATTGCAAAAATCAATGCCCAAAAATGCTAAAAATTGTAAAAAAAGTTGTAAAAAAATTCTAAAAAAGTTAAAAAAAAAAAATTTAAAAAAATTGTTAAAAAATTCCGAAAAAAATTGTAAGGGGGTATTTTTTCCTGTAGGTTTATTTTCCTAGAGTTTTTTTTTCCGGGGGTTTTTTTTTCGGGGTTTTTTTTCCATGGTTTTTTTTCCAGGGGCTTTTTTTCCGTTTACCGCCAAAACGTTAATACACGATCCTTTCTACGATTTATTTGGGAAACCGGACCAAGAAAGAAGAAAGTCAACCGCAAGAAAAATCAAGAAACTTGTCGACAGAAAGACCTGATCGGACCAAATTCTTGATTGAAGCCATTCTTCCCGGAATTTGCTGCCAAGTCTGCTGTTTCAAGATTATGTGATATTCCCTCATTTTCCTTCCGTAAGTACCTCAGGATTTCCGCTCACACTCACTTAATAAATTAATTTTTCTAATAATTT